CCTGTAATCCCAGCACTTTGGGAGGCCGAGGCGGGCAGATCACAAGGTCAGGAGATCGAGACCATCCTGGCTAACACCGTGAAACCCTGTCTCTACTAAAAATACAAAAAAAATTAGCCGGCTGTGGTGGTGGGCGCCTGTGGTCCCAGCTACTCAGGAGGCTGAGGCAGGAGAATGGCATGAACCCGGGAGGCAGAGCTTGCAGTGAGCCAATATTGCGCCACTGCACTCCAGCCTGGGTGAGAGTGCGAGACTCCATCTCAAAAAAAATTTAAAAAATAAAAAATAAAAAGGCTGGGCGCGGTGGCTCACGCCTGTCATCCCAGCACTTTGGGAGGCTGGGGCAGGCAGATACCTGAGGTTGGGAGTTGGAGACCAGCCTGACCAACATGGAGAAACCCTGTCTCTACTAACTATACAAAATTAACCAGATGTGGTGGCGCATGCCTGCAATCTCAGCTACTTGGGAAGCTGAGGTGAGAAAACCAAAGCACCCAGGAGGCGCAGGTTGGGGTGAGCCGAGATCTCACCATTGCACTCCGCCTGGGCAACAAGAACTAAACTCCGCCTCAAAACAAACGAACAGAAAACCCATAAAAATAAAAATAGGGCCAGGTGCGGTGACTCACACCTGTTAATCCCAGCACTTTGGGAGGCAGGTGGATCACCTGAGGCCAGGAGTTTGAGACCAGCCTGACCAACATGCTGAAACCGTGTCTCTACTAAAACTACAAAAATTAGCCAGGCATGGTGGCGCATGCCTGTAATCCCAGCTACTCAGGAGGCTGAGGGAGGAGAATCGCTTGAACCCGGGAAGCGGAGGTTGCAGTGAGCCGAGATCGCGCCATTGCACTCCAGCCTGGGCAACAAGAGCGAAAATCTGTCTCAAAAAAATAATAATTAAAATTTAAAAAATAAAAATAAGCCGGGCACGGTGGCTCATGCCTATAATCCTAGCACTCTGGGGGGCCGGAGCGGGTGGATGGCTTGAGGTCAGGAGTTCAAGACCAGCCTGGCCAACTGGCGAAGCCCCGTTTCTACTAAAAATGCAAAAATTAGCCAGGCATAGTGGCATGAGCCTGTAATCCCAGTTACTCAAGGAGGCTGAGGCAGGAGAACCGCTTGAACCCAGGAGGCAGAGGCTCCTGGTGAGCCAAGATACCACTGGTGACAGAGGTAGACTCTGTCTCTAAATAAATAAATGAATATAAAAGAGTTGCCTAAGGTCATATAGCAAGTAAATGGCAGAACTAATATTCTAGACTGCTTTGTTCTCTATCTCTACTCATCACATTGTATATTTCAGTATGGAGAGGGGACTAAATTATAGTGCTGAAAGCACAGATTCTGAGCCAGGCTGCCAAGATCGGAATCCTGAGTCTAGCAATTAATGCTGGATAGCCTTGGGAAAGTTGCTTAATTTCTCTGCACTTCTGTTTTCTTTCTGTAAAATGGAGAAAATAACAGCACCTACCCCTCAGGGGTGTTATCAGAATTAAATGAGTTAATGCATACAAACAGCTAAGGACAGGGCCAGGCATTTTGTAAAACAATAAGCGTTAACTGTAATCCACAGTAGGGAACCCCTACATGCTTCTGAGCTGGGGTGTGTGCCCAGATCAGTGCCAGCTTTTGAGAAAACGCCCTCTGGGACTGGACTGGAAAGGAGGAAATCCATTAGCACCTGTAACCCAGTCACATTCCGGGGGCGGAGAACTTCCCACCAACAGCTCTGAGACTGAAACTTCACAGCCCAGATCTCCCATTAATAGTAACGATTTTAATGACTCCCTTTAACCCTGTTCTCAGAGGCATGCTTGCCGTTCCCATACTACAGATAAGGGCACTAAGGCTCACAGATTTGTCCATGGCACAAAGGGGTGGGAGAATAGGGGATGTGAATGCTGTACTTCTCATAGGGATAAACCACTACACTCTTCTAAATTCCACTGGGGAAGTGAGGGTGCAAAGCCTGTCTGGATGGCCCTTTCTGGCCATATTATCCTACAGTTCTGTGCCTGTCCAGCTCACCGGGAGTCTCTGGCGGGACTAGGGAAATTATCACTACATCCACGCCCCTAATTTCACGCTCCTCACCCCACCCTCAGTCCTGGAGCCTGAACCCACACTCTCCTACCACTGATTTCTCCCTCCCACCTCCTCAACTTGCCTTCCTGCCCCCAATCCGATCCAGAGGCCCCATCCCATCGCGTCCACCGTTCGCCTGTCCCTTGGAGCTTCCAGACCCCCTCACTCATCCTAACCGTGATCCTCATACCCTCGCCACAGGTTAACACCCTATCGAAATCGACACCTTCAGGGCCTCTACCTGGACGTCCAGCCCCGTCTCCAACTCGGGGCCCACTTCCCCAGCTCTGAGCCCCTTTACAATCAATTCCAAAGCTCCACTCCCACCCCACCTCCAAGACCCCTCCCCAAGCCACCATTCTTCTACTACTACCTCCGGCTCCCATTCCTCCCAATCCCCTCCCCCAGGCAATCTCCCCTCGCCCAGCCCCTTCTTTCGCCCCTGCCTCTTCCCCCTCGTCACCCGGTCCCGAACCCCCGTCCCGACTCTCCAGCGCCCCCGGCCCTCGCCTGGGCTCTCACCATCGCCGCGCGCTGCATCTCCCTCAGCTACGCGGGTTTACCCTACTCGCTCCTCTCCAGCCTCCCCTTCCGGGTTCTCGTCCCGAAGCCCGGTGGGAATTGAAGTCCGGACAGCCACGGACTACATACCCCAGAAGGCAGCACGGTCAAGCGTGGAGGTGGGGTGGGAAGCAAATTAGGCGGGCGGAGGAAAAGAACGACTCGAACTCCCGGGAGACAAAGCCGGAGAGGACTTGGCAGCGCAAGCGCAGGGCGCTTCCCCGCGGGGCGCGCTGGGAGATGGAGTCTAGCCAGGAGGGCTCCATTTTTGCCCGGGGCCCTTGGGAAGGGAATTGAGAGTATTGCAATAGGGTGTTGCTGAGGGGTGGAGAGTTGGGGAAGAGCACATTTATTGATTCATTTGTGCCGATCAACACAATAGCTAACAGTTCCTTATGCTTTTCCAAAGTCATTCCCATCCATCCCCTCCTTCTTTTTTTTTTTCTTTCTTTCTTTTTTTTTTTGAGACGTAATCTTGTTCTGTCACCCAGGCTGGAGTGCAGTGGCGTAATATCAGCTCACTGCAACCTCCGCCTCCTGGGTTCAAGCGATTCTCCTGCCTCAGCCTCCTGAGTAGCTGGGATTACAGGCGCCCGCCACCACGCCCGGCTAATTTTTGTATTTTTTGTAAAAACGGAGTTTCACCATGTTGGTCAGGCTGGTCTTGAACTCCTGAGCTCGTGATCCACCCTCCTCGGCCTCCCAAAGTGCTGGGATTACAGGCATGAGCCACTGCGTCAGGCCCATCCCCTCCCTTCTTACCTCCTGATTTACAAATGAGAAAATTAAGCCTTAGGAGGAAGGAAAGTCCCATGCATTA